GTGAGTGTGTGAGTGTGAGTGTGTGTGTGTGTGTGTGTGTGAGTGTGCGAGTGTGTGAGTGTGTGTGTGAGAGTGTGTGTGCATGTGTGTGTGATTGTGCAAGCGTGTGTGTGTGTGTGTGAGAGTGTGAGTGTGTGAGTGCGTGAGTGTGCTCGTGTGTGTGTGTGTGTGTGTGTGTGGATGTGTTTGACCGCTGTGATTCTCTGTCACAGACGCTTGAGTCCGCTCACAGTCTCAGCCGGAGGGAACGAGAGCAGGTTACGATCGGCCAATCGACCAAACAGCCCCAGAGACATCAGGTACATCTGACCACTTCACTGTCTCACTCTGTTTCACTGTTTAATACACTGACATTCATCAGAGTCAGAACTGTCCAGTTGCTCTGAGTTCGTGCTCATGATGCTGTTCTGAGTGTTTATTGGTTTTGTTGGCTTGTTCTGATTAGCAACAGTGTTGCATTTGGGTTATTTATTCAGACAATCGACCAATAGGGATGTTGCCCCGTTGCCATGGTTGCAGGTGATACATAATGCAGGAAGCGAGAGAGTTGAAGGAATAATGAAAATGATGTCATGATTTGTTGTTTCCAAACCCGTTTGCTGTTGTTGTATCTGTTGAACACACAAAAAAATATTATTTTAAGAATCACTAGACCAGCGACTCCCAAACCTTTTCATCAGCTGAAATATTTTCTCGAAGTCCCCCTGAGATTTTTAAATAATTATTTCAATAATGTTCACGCTTCTCTGATTCAGTTCTTGGTTAATGACATGATGTATGACAACAAATAAAATATTTTTATTTTGTTTTATGTTCATTCATTTTATTGCTTTTTATTAGTAAGTTTTATTTTGATTTTTTAATGTTATTCATTTTAAATGTACATTTTTATGATTTAATTAATTACTACTCATTCTTTTATTTTGATTATTTTTTTTGATTGTTTTTGTTTGTTTTATATTTTAAAATTATTAGTTTGTTTTGATTTTACATTTGAATGATTTAATTAATTATTACTAAGTGCTTTATTTTAATTGTTTTTTGTTTTTGGATGATTTATTTATTTTAATTTTACATTTTTATCATTTAATTATTAGTAAGAGTTTTATTTTTAGTGTTTTTAATTTTAAATTATTTTTAATTTTAATTTAGAATTTTAATGATTTAATTATTAGTGTATATATATATATATATATATATATATATAATGTGAGAAATAATTTTTTTTTACATTATATATATATATATATATATATATATATATA